TTCAATGGAATGCTGTCCTTGTAGTAAATATATGGCTTATATCCTAAGCATACAAGGTTAGGCATAGTTTCATAATGTGACAATATATTGTGTTCTTAACAGTGTTTTCAAAATTGTACTTAGCTTATGTAATACAGAGTTAACTCGCCATAGATCACTTATTCAGGGTTGTTCACTATAGTGAACATTCTAAGTAAATTTAAGGTCAAAATAGCTGATCTAGAAAAATTCAACTATGCTTTCAATTCAGCTACTCAGGCCTTGAACCAGAGATTCACGTTGCATTCACTGCAAATTCTCACCTTAGTGAATAACCCTGTAAATGTTTCCTTCGGAATGGTACACAAATGCACTTGATTTCTTTTACACCAAGTACTGGAAGGAGAAGAACTGTTCACTAAAATGGGAATTGTGAAAAATAAAAAGGGAATTGCAACTTTTACACCATAATAGCTGATAGGGACACATTCTTTAATTCATCTTTTTGCCTAAAATTTGCAATTTCTTGTTTAGTGAATGAATCCCACAGTGTCCGAAAACAAGTTGCTATTGCAGCAGGCCGATCGACATCCAAAGTCCGCATGCTAGGGTTAAATCACGATAATGAAAAAGGCCAATTAGCGGAGAGGAGGTAACAAAATGTCACATCCAAACGAGAGACTCTCCGTTATAGGAATTTAAGAAGGTCGCCCTGGTTATTTTTTATGTTTTCTTTTCGATAACTAATAAAGTAATTAACTGGGTTAAAACGTAATGAAAAAACATATGTAAATACATGACTTCTTTGAAATGTGTTTAGATTTTATATACTGGCGTAATTCACAGGAAATTCGCCATTATTAAATCAATGTTGGGAACTGTGTTTGTTAATAATTAGCTGCAATGCAAAAGCCGAACGATTCTTTAACCGAACAGAGCTGTGTCAATCAATCCTTTTAGCCTTTCATTCCACAACAGATGTATAAGTTGCAGTTTTGTGTATTCAAGCTTTTAAAGAGCTGAGTCCCCTATTTATCTCCGGGCCAGAAGTACACACAAGACCAATATGTGAACAGGGTACAAATTAGTAGATCAAACGAATATTCCTCTACACAACTGAGAAGTAAGGTCTCATTAGCAAAATCGACTGAAAGGGAAAAAGCAGCCCGTACAATGTGCGTGGACTACAAAGTAGAGCCATTTAATTCAGATGCCAAGCTATAAAGTGTTTGACGATTATTTATGACCGACCCACATTGCTACGAGCCGTTACTTTGCAAAACTCTTGCTAATGTATTGAAAGGCTCATTTTTAATTTGTGATTGATGAATAGATTTGAATTCTGCACACTGTACAGCAGAGGGCAGCAGACATTAAAAATCAGAAATGTGAGCAGATTTCAGCAAAGAGATTTGTAAATATGTAACATTTTCTTACCAAAAGTGGACATTTCGGAGTGCATTAATTTTACTGTTAAACCAAGAGAAGGCTATAATGAACAAATATTTATTAAATAAGGGAATTTTAGAGTTTTCAGATCACAAGTTTTTGAGTTATTTATGTTTTGCATTTTGTCTGGAAGAGCTTGAAATTGTTGCCTTGCAGTACGTGTGACTCGTATGCTCCCGTACATGTCAAATATTGCTTAGCAAACGTATTGTCCATCCATGGACTTCTCCATATTTTGTGGTGTAACTACCTGGAATTGAAATGGATATTACTGTTTACATACCTAACACTTTGAATGTGCAGATTATTTTTATTTTGACACAAGTTATTCAAACATGAAAAAACAAAACAGATATTTGTTGGTTATGTATATTAAACCCTGTAAGTCACCCACCAATACTTGGGGCCACCAATCCACCTTTGCATAATTAAAGTGTCAAATCGTCTCAAAATAAATGCACCTGTTTTCTTTCTTCATGGTTTGTTACAGGACATTGGTAAAGAAACAGCATCATGAATACCAAGGGGCATTCAAATTAAGTCTGATATAAAGTTCTGGAGGTGCACCCCTTTTTAAAAAATCCATAAATAAATAATAAACTTACCTTTTCTACAGGGCCAGGTGAGGTTCTTCCATGGCTCATCCAATAACATGATACATCATTACGTCCCTTTAATTGGACCAATCTGCAGGCTCAGAGAGCATACACTCTGGGCCTAGGAGGGAAGTGAGAGAGGGAATAGAGGATGGACAAATAAGGGGGGTTTATTAAAAATAATAATAACTGTAAATTCAGGGGAGGAAGTGTTTTAGGATCCCCAGCATTGCCTGCAAGAGGGTAGAAGCTCATTAAGTATGTTGTCAGCACGCAGTGCATGATGCCATCAGATGTAATATCTGCACAGGATTAACATTAGGCAGCCTGAAAAAGAGTCTCAAGCTGCCTAAATCACATGTGCCGATGGCGTAATCAACCCCCGCACAAAACTATCGAACTCTATTGGACTGAAATCTAGTGACTGCGGAGGTCATTGGTCTACTTTTAACTCATTGTTATGTTTGTGGAACCAGTTTGAGATTAGGTCTGCTTTGTGAAATGGCACATTTGCATGTAGCCATCGGATATAATGGTCAGCAGCAATACCCAAGTTCTCTGTGGCAATAACAATACTCAGTTAGTATTAAGATGTCTAATGTATTGAACAACAGTTGTCAAAGTTCTTTCGAGTTAGCACATAAATATCTTAGCCCCTCTTAAGATTGTATTTGTTGGTTAAAACGCTGTGTTTGGCTTTGCAGCCAAAACTGTATGTGTTTTTTCTTTGTTGTAATGTTTGTTTGTTTTTTGAAGGGGGGGTTTGTTGTTTTTTTCTTTGTTTTATGTGTCCTGTTTTTTTATTTTTTTTATTTATATATTTGTATTTTTTTTAAAAAAGAGAGAAAAATTCTTACCGGTAATAAAGATTATGTAAAAAAATAAATTTTCCAGGTTTATGTAACTGTCTCAGCCCCATTCTACCTCTCTCTTTCTGTTCCTATTTGTCTGTTTCGAAACACACCTTCTGCTTTATCATTTTCCACATGTCCATTTACATTTAATTCTCATTCTAACCCCGTTTGTCTCTCTCTGTTTGACTATCTCGGTCTGTTCATTTGCACCAATCACTAGAGGACCTGTGTGATATATGTCTCCACTGATACAAATCCCTATAACATGGAACCGCATACAAGGGCTGCTGTTGACTTAAAATCACTGCTGATCTTGAGTATTTGATTTCAATTTAAGTGAATGTTGGATGTACCAGAATTCAGTGTTTATCTCCCCCATGACGTGACCCATATGATTCTCCAGAGAATAATATAAAATAAAATCATATACCCTTGGGGTCCAATTCATATTTATTTATTATATTTGTCTCAAACAACCGATATATGTACCCACATTACTAGCCCTGCCCACAAATGCAATGCCTTATTACTAAATCATATATTACTATGACCAAACAGTACAATGGACAGGGGCTGGGGAGACTGTGGGAATGATCTGTGTTTTGTTGTCACACAATAAATCAATGATATTGCTGCAAATATTAAAAGACCAAAACAGTTCGGATTTAGAGATTCAAATGGCAATGCAAAACAAGCAATTCACATAAGGGGAAATGTCATCTAAACAATGTATGCACTGAATAGCAGAATGAGTTTATCAAACAGCCGCAATGTTTCTTCATACCGTATGCACATTTTCAGCTTATTTAAGCACCCACATTGGCGGTGTTATGGTTTTAGGGCGTGAAGCACCAGATGTGGACCGATGCAGTCCCTTATCCGCACAGGGGCATGATAATCTTCTGTACATTGATGTAACGTCCCAACACCCTCTTTGTCCCTGTTTTGCCTCCTCTAGTAGATATTTACAGTGTATCTGCAGTCATGTTTATTTTTTTTTCTCATTGTTATAATTGTATGTTTGTACTTCATTGGATTATGCATAGTACTATTATAAATGTGACCTTTTCCAGAAGAAAACTACTACTATAATAAATTTTATTACAGATGTTTAAATAAAGAAAAAAATATCAGAAAAACACATTTTCTCAGGTTCACCACTACATGGCACAACTTTTCACTTTTAAATATGTGGAAAGATTCTACTACATCTGCATCAAACACTAACCATTCAAAGACTATCTGTAGTGGTTTGATATTCACTTTTCAGGGCTCTGTCACTTGTGTTTTCGTATTTATATTTGTTGTTTTATTTGTAAAACAACTTTAAACTGAAGCTCCATTTTCAGTTCACATGATGTTTTTCCAAAGCTAGTTCTTACAGTTATATCATAATCTAGGTAGATAAAATACTCAAGTCCACGGAGCTCAAACATTTAAAAAAACATCTTTTTATGCTGTTGACATAAGAGGGGAAAAAAAAATACAATTTGAAGTGATTATGGCACAAAAAAGGTGAATAAAAATCCCTTTTGACTGGGGGCGTGGCCTGACAGCGCAACGAGCCGGACGCATGGGCTACTAGCTCCTCCGTGCACTGACCCTCCACAGCGATTAAAATAGCACTGCTCGTCCCAACATAGCGTCGAAACGCAGCACTGACCCCTCTGCAGGACATGGCATCCAGGTCAGCAAAAAAAATCAGGCACAAACAGACCTTACTGCAGGTCCGGGCGCTCACACCGCCGAGAAAGCAGGCCCAAGATGGCGCCGACGCGCCGAGATCACCGGCGGCCTACTCAGATCACAGTGACCTCACATCGGTTTCTGAGCCCTCAGCAGCCCCAGCCACTGATCTCTCCATACACAAAATGCTGAAAGCAATGCAGGCTTCACTACAAGCTGACTTCTCCAAAATAGCGCGGGACATCAGAACAGATATCCAGGCACTAGGGGAGAGAACAACCTATCTTGAAGACAAGACTGAGGAACTCATATCTGCCCACAACACCGTGGCAGACGCTTATACTGACCTGAGAGAACGTCTGGAACAACTTACTGCTAAGGTGGCGGACCACGAAGACAGGGACAGGCGCAGCAACATCCGCCTTCCGTGGCGTCTCAGAAGAAATATTACCCCAAGACCTCCAGGCGTACGCCATGTGCTTTTTCCAACATCTGGTCCCTGACCTCTCACAACAGGACTTCCTCATAGACCGCATACACCGCTTACCAAAGCCAAGATTCCTCCCTGCGTCAGCCCCGAGAGACACCATTGCAAAACTGCACTATTACACCACCAAAGAGAAGATCATGAGAGCCTCCAGGCGCACCGTCGATCTGCCGGAAAAATTTAAAGGTGTCCACTTGTTCACAGATCTCTCCGCCTCCACGCTGTCGAAACGGAGAGAGCTTACTCCCATCACAAGAGCCCTGAGAGAGGCCAACATTCTATACAGATGGGGCTTTCCAGCCCGCCTAATTGTTCGGCGGAATGGCACAGACCGCCACATCACAAACAGCGAAGAAGGCACAAGACTCCTGAAGGAGTGGGATATCTCCCTCCCGCAACCACCTGACCGAGTCACCCAAGAAACGCATCGGGGACCGCCGAGAAGAGTCCAGACCGATTGGAATGTGGCAACTTCAGCTAAGTGACATCTCCACACCCCTATTGCCTACATCCTACACTCTAGGGCTCGCCGGCTAGGCGCCCCTGCCAATGAACACTACTAACTGCTTCTTTTCTCCAAAACCTTTATATCCATATCTACTAATTTTTTGCATAATGTTCTATCTGACTTGTTTATTTTAAATTCTCACTACATAGCCCACAATGTGCCAGACTAGGCCTTGCGGCAATGGTGGGGCCACACCGGAGAGGGCCCGGCCATTGCAGCGATGCACAATGGGGTAGCAAAGAGTATTTAAAAAAAAAAATAAAAAAAATAAATAAAAAAAATAAAAATAAAAAACACAATAGAATTATCACCTACTAATGCAAACCCACGGGCACCGTGCGTGCCCTACCTAAATTTTACCCAAAGGCACATAGACCAGCCTAAAGAGGGCATGTAGGGAAACAATGTCCCCAGGCAACCACGGGTCAACTCCCAATTGATGGGACCCCACGAAACACTGAGGGTCAAACACCTGACCATCCACTGTACCCCCTGGGCTCAAGTGAGCCTTGTTATTACCGTCCATGCCACACGGCACTACCCATGACGGAACCCTGTATATAGTTTCTCCTGCTCTACTGTACCAGATCATGGTACGTATATGCATTCTTTCCCCCCCCCCCAACCCTGCTAAGCAGCTAGCACAACAACCAAGGTATGCAACCACACTCGCAAACGCACGATGGCCTACCAGGCGACTAAACCACGCTGGCATATTGGCCGGTCCTCCCCATGACAATAACGATATCGAGGTAACCATCACTGTTATTCATACACACAAGACCCCAACCTCTCTGACCGGCCCCCGCACAACGCACGACGCAGTAAGGCTGGGAACATCCCACGATACCCCGCTACTGTACTCCTACAACACCACCAAACTAGGCACCATATGGGGCATTTGGTCCCATCTCACCGTCCGTCCAGCTCCAAAATACTACCCAAATAATGACGCTCACCATATTGTCCCTAAATGTTAAGGGCCTAAACACCCCCCACAAACGTAGACTAGCGCTAGAGGAGGCGAAAAAACACAAAGCCCACATAGCGTTCTATCAGGAGACCCACTTCAAATGGGGCGCCCGACCCAAATTCAGCTCCAAACTATTCCCCCATGACTACCACTCTTGTTACAAAAAGAAAAAAAGAGGGGTATCCATCCTGATAGGACGACAAGTTGCGTTTTCACTGGTAAAAAAAATCGGGGATAAACAGGGAAGATACCTGTTAGTACAATGCTATATCAATAATGAGCCATACACACTTCTCAACATATACGGCCCCCACACCAACCAAACAGAATTTCTAGATAGCTTGTTCGCCTTAACCACCCTACATAAATTCGGGGAACTAATTATAGGCGGGGATACCAATTTCCTTTTAGACTGCACTCTTGACTCCACCTCAGCCCACAAACTAACCGGAGCATCGGCCCGCAAACAATACAGATCCACCTCACGACATTGCAACCAGATCTTACACAATAACTTCCTAGACCCGTGGAGAATCCTCCACCCATTGGAGCGGGACTACACCTTCCACTCCCCGGTCCACAACACCTACACCAGAATTGACAGATTCCTCCTACCTACCTTAATGATGCAAAAAGTACTATCTGCCAACATTGGCCTAATTACCTGGTCTGATCATGCTCCAATAACCTTGGTCCTAGCGGAACAATTTCCCACGGCGGGAAAGGGAACTTGGAGACTCAATGACTCCCTACTATTAGATCCAAACGTAGTGGACCAAATTAGAGCAGACTTAACATCATACTTTCACACAAACACAATACCGGAAACCGACATATCAATGACATGGCTAGCGCACAAAGCGGTCATACGTGGCCTCTTCATTAGAGCAGGTAGCTACGCTAAGAAGCAAAGGCTCAAAGACTATACCACACTGATTTCAGAGATAACAGATCTCACGCACAAAAATAAAACCAACCCCACACAAACCCTCCAACACCGCCTTCTCTCACTGCAAACTAAACTCAGAGACCTTGAACTCCAAAAAACAACATACATACTTCGACGCTTCAAACACAATTTCTTCACCCAAGGAAACAAGGCAGGAGCACTACTGGCGGCACAACTCCAGGCACGCTCCGCCAACACGAGAATAGCTTTTATCAACACACCCTCGAACCAAAAACTCACAAACCCACAAGATATAGCAGATGCATTTGCCTCCTAATACGGCACGCTTTACAACCTTAAAGAAGACCCAGAAGTAACACCGCCCCCGCCAGCCCTCATCCAAAACTTTTTAGCGAAAGCGAATCTCCCAAACTGACACCCGACGACATATCCTCCTTAACAGCACCATTCACCACACTAGAAATAGAAAAAAACCATAAAACAACTGCCCAAACACAAAGCACCAGGCCCAGATGGTTATACCAATATGTACTACCAAACTTTTGCACCCATCCTATCCCCCCATTTAACGGCGCTATTCAACCAATCCTATGAGAAGGGTTCACTGCCCCCGAGATGCTGAAAGCACACATCTCTACTCTCCCAAAACCAGGCAAACCCCCTACGCAATGCCATAACTTCAGACCTATATCCCTGCTCAATGGAGACGTGAAGCTCTATGCTAAGCTCCTAGCAAACCGTATATCCAACATCCTCCCAAAACTGACACATAATGACCAATCCGGATTCGTTAAAACTAGACAAGGTTCGGATAATACCCGAAAGATTTTAAACATCCTCACACAAGCCCACACTGACCACACAGAAGGTCTTCTCTTGGCACTAGACGCAGAGAAGGCCTTCGACAGGCTCAACTGGGACTACATGCAATACGTCCTTCAGGCATTTGGCTTTACACCACACATTATCTCAGGTATCATGGCTCTCTACAACAACCCGACAGCACAAGTTGCAAATGCGGGCTTTCTGTCCACACCATTCAACATCTCTAACGGCACCAGACAAGGATGCCCCTTGTCCCCGCTATTGTTCGTCCTCTCCCTAGAGCCGTTGGCGTATATCATTAGACACCATCCAAACATTAAAGGCATATCAGTAGGTCCCAGCGAATACAAGCTGTCTATGTTCGCTGACGACATCCTTCTAACATTAAGGGAAGTCAACACGTCCCTCCCGACCTTGATGCAACTCCTACATACCTACGGTAAAGTAGCATACTATAAACTGAACCAATCCAAGACACAGGCCCTGCCCATAGGCCTTCCACACACACAGGCCCAGGAACTCATGCGAACATATAAATTCGACTGGAGAGCCGACCACATCACTTACTTAGGGGTTAAGATAGCGCCCACATCGGAACGTATGTTCCACCACAACTACAAACCACTGCTCCGCTTGTGCAAAGCGGAATGCCTCAAGTGGAAACCGGTCAAACTGTCATGGTTAGGCAGAATCAACACTATTAAAATGACTCTCCTGCCAAAACTACTGTACGTGTTTCGCCTCCTACATATACAAGCCCCACCCGCCTTCTTTAAACAGCTCCAACGGACCCTGTCCGCATACATATGGGACTCACACAAACCCAGACTATCTCATCGCTTACTGCAGCAGCGCACAGCAGAGGGGGGTGTGGGCCTCCCAGATATTTATACGTATTACAAAGCAGCCAACTTAGAAACTGCAGTGAAATTACACACCCCCAAAGGCACATACCAGTGGGTAGATATGGAAGCAGCGAAATCCGACAAGACACCCCGCCCTATGCTACCAGGTAGCTATGAAAACAGCTCCACACTACTCCCCTGCCTTCGTGACCCAATGGCTCGCGGACTGCAATGAGCCGATAACTGACAAGGAAGTGGAGGCGTCCCCAACTGCCCTCAAAGGTATCACACAGTGCTACTCACACATAGAGGCCCACAAGAAACTAGTATACAGGTGGTACCTAACGCCCCACAGGCTCCACATAATGTACAGCTCTGCATCACCACTCTGCTGGAGATGTGGGGAGACAACGGGCACAATGTTCCACATCTGGTGGTCGTGCCAACGTATACGCCCCTTGTGGGACGAAGCGCAATCCATCCTATGAACCATTGGCATCACAGAACCACCGCTAGACGCCCGTACTGGGTTATTCCTCTCCTACCCGCACTCAACCTCGAAAGCAGTGAAACACATAATGGCGATTACTGCATTGGCAGTACGAAACCTCATAGCAAACCAATGGAAGCAATCTCACTGCCCTTCTAAAACCCACCTGCTAACCAAAATCCACCAATACCACACGTACGAAAACATGACGACCAAAACTGCCTCACAAAGAAAGTCTTTCCAAGAGTCCTGGGCACCATGGGTCAGCTACTGGGACGGGGTTAACAATACCTAAATACCCAACGCCCTACAGGGATCAAAGACGGTGTAGGTACCACCGATGAAGTGCAGATCCTAGTTGCTAGCCCACAGAGTTCAACTACTTGAATAGGCCCTACCCCTCCTCCAGTTGCCACAGGGGCTGGTACTCTCAGAACAACACACCTATCCCCAGGGTAGACCTATCCTCTCGTCGCACCACGCAGTGCAACATATGACGACACCTACAGCTAGGCATATGTATTCCAGGTATCACGCTCGCATGCCACTACTGCATACCTCCAAAGCATATTCCCCCCCTCCACCCTTTCCTGTTTCTCCCCCCACCCAGTTGCACCCCCAACTTCACATCGCAAAGAAATCCACTAAACCGGTGTATCCGCCATGAATTGGCTCACACAGAGAAACTACCTCCACGACCCCAGGCACTACCAAACACCGACCATGCGAATCTCAGGTGCCACCGTGTCCCCCCCGGCATAATTCATGCCGACTGTGATGCAGAAATTGACACCTGCTAAGGTTCCTTTATAGAACATGCTTAAAGTGGAAACAAATGTTGTATAATATGACATCCCCTAATTGTTCCCCCCTTTTCTTTCTGTACCCCATTATCTTTATGAAAATAAAAACTGTCAAATTGAAAAAAAATCCCTTTTGACTCCATAAAGGTTGTCAGATTTCTCCTTGGATCAACCTGTTCACACACGTTAATTATATCCCTAAGACTTTTATGCACAGTGGACAAATTCAGTACATCTTAATCGATTGGTCAGAAAAAATAGTTTTTGTTAAAGGCAGTTCGGGGTTGATCCATGTGGCATTTTGCTTTGGACAAATTTTGTCCATGCAATTGTTCCAGGAAAAATTATTTAGCTTACCCAAAATGGCATGAAAACATTCTGTATATAGTTTGCAGTGCATTGATCGGTTCAATCATAGGTTAACTTGCTTCAGAATTTTTCTCTCCTGCTCTGTAAATTAAACTTTAATCATACACAAGAGGCTCCTGCAATGTTTAGCAGCCTATTAACAGTGGAGGAGTAAAGAAATGATCGATTAAACTATATATTGTAAGCTCGTTTGAGCAGGGTCCTCTTCAACCTATCATTCCTGAAAGTTTTCTTGTAATTGCCCTATTTATAGTTAAGTCCCCCCTCTCATAATATTGTAAAGCGCTACGGAATTTTTTGGCGCTTTATAAATGGCAATAAGTAATAATAATAATAATAATAAAACAGACTGTGCAATAAAAGAAATGTAAACATTAGTTCTTACTTTACAGGAAGTGTTTAGGATGGCTGAGTAAGTCACATGCAGGAAGGTGTGACTAGAGCTGTATAAACAAAGTGATTTAACTCCTAAATGGTAGAGAATTGAGCAGTGAGACTGCAGAGGCATGATCTATACACCAAAACTTATTTAAGATAAAGTTGTTTTAGTGACTACGGTGTCCCATATATGGATTTAAGTATCAATAATATTTTTTTCTCATCAATCATCTCTGTTTTTTCCCTTTGACGCCACGGATGGAACCTCGAATTATGAGACAAACAAAACAGCTCTTTTCTTTGTCAGTGAATACATAGCGATTCGAAGTTCAGAATTTCAATCCGCCAATTGCCCAAATTTGAACTAATTACGATTTGTTGAAACTGAATACGCAATATCTTCTAACAGCAGGACTGTATCATTTAGTAGCATCTTTTACCAATTATTAACCCCTTAAGACCGTAGGGCGTGCTATTACGCCCTATTTTAGGCGGCTCTAAACGCCGCAGGGCGTAATAGTACGCCCTCCGGTCTTTCATTACTTACCCGGTCGGCGGCGGTCCCACGCCGGCGATCGCGGTTGGGGGGACTCCCAGGGAGCCCCCCCGCGGCAGATCTTCCTCCTGGCAGCCCCCCAAGCCATGTGAGAGTGAGGTCCTTGCGAGGACCTCACAATCACATGGCCGGGTTAGCTGGCTGCTGCATTGCCAGCAGGGGGACTGCCTGTAATGACAGGTAGTCCCCCTGCTGGCTGTAAATAAAATTAAATTATAGTTAAAAAGTGTAAAAAAATATATATATATATACTTAGATCATATATATATATATTATATATATATATATGATCTAAGTATATATATATATATATATATACATACACACACATACACTGTCTAGGTGTATTTTACTATTAATATATATAATTATATATATATATATATATATATATATATTAATATCAAATTACACGTAGACTGATATTGATTAAATATATATATAATTATTGTTATATATATTTATATATAATATAAAAAATTAAATATGTAAATACTTTAAAAAATAAAATTTAAAAAATAATTAAAAATATAATTAAAAAATATATAGATGTGTGTTATTTCGTTCTAACTGTATTGTGATATTAATACATATATATATATATATTTATATCAAAATACATGAAGAACAAAATAATATATATATCTATATACATAAATATATACGTATATATCACTATATATATACCTATATATAAATAAAAATATTTGTAAAAAATTATATATATATATTCACATAGTATATCTATACAAATATTAATTCTACATATATATTTATGTAATATTTTTACATAATTAGGTATCTTAATTAATTACAATTAGCGGGACCTGCCTGACAACCCATGCCGAAAGTAAAGGGAATTTAATTTGCTAGCACTATATTTAACCCTATAACTTTCCAAGACACCATAAAACCTGTACATGGGGGGTACTGTTCTACTCGGGAGAATTCACTGAACACAAATATTAGTGTTTCAAAACAGTAAAATGTATTACAACGATGATATCACCAGTAAAAGTGAAATTTTTTGCATTTTTCAAGCACAAACAGCACTTACACGGACGATATTATTGCTGCAATACTTTTTACTGTTTTAAAACACTAATATTTGTGTTCAGCGAAGTCTCCCGAGTACAACAGTACCCCTCATGTACAGGTTTTATGGTGTTTTCAAAAGTTACAGCGTCAAATATAAGGCTTGTGTTTCATTTTTTTCACATTAAAATTCGATTGGTTACGTTGCCTTTGAGACCCTATGGTAGCCCAAGAATGAAAATTACCCCTATGATGGCATACCATTTGCAATAGTAGACAAGGTATTGCAAACGGGGTATGTCCAGTTTTTTTTTTGTAGCCACTTAGTCACAAACAGGCCCGGACTGGCCATCGGGCACACCGGGCAAATGCCCGGTGGGCCGCGGTGGCCATTGGCCGAGGCCGGCAGGGGAGGTCTCAGGATCTCTCCTGCCGGTCTTTGCAGGGCCGGCGCTATCTGAAAGCTGGCCCTGCAGCAGTCTACAGCGGGCCGGTGGGGAGATCAGAGATCTCCCTCACCGGCCCACATAGAGTATACTGCGGCCGCCGGCGGGGAGAGAGGGAGGGAGCCAGCCTGACAACAGAGGAACCCGGCGGAGCTTTAACTTACAGCTTCGCCGGGTACCTCACAGGCTAGAGTTCACTCACCACTAGGACCACCAGCAGGATCCCCCCTCCCAGGCTAAAGGTAAGCAGGGAGGGGGGAAATATTCAATCAGGTATAATCACAGCAGCCTCACTCACAGATACCCTGCACCCCTAACACTCACAGCACACACACGCACACACACTGCACCCCTAACACTCACAGCACACACACACACACACTGCACCCTGACACTCACAGCACCCTCACACACACACAATGCACCCCTAACACTCACAGCACACACACACCGCACCCCTGACACTCACAGCACCCTCAAACACACACACTGCACCCCTGACACGCACAGCACACACACTGCACCCCTGACACTCACAACACACACACTGCACCCCTAACACTTACAGCACACACACACACACTGCACCCCTAACACTTACAGCACCCTCACACACACACACTGCACCCCTGACACTCACAGCACCCTCACTCACACACTCACATAAACTGCACCCCTGACACTCACAGCACCCTCACTCACACACTAACACACACTGCACCCCTGACACTCACAGCACACACGCACACAGCACCCTCACTCACACACACACTGCACCCCTGACACTCACAGCACACACACTGCACCCCTAACACTTACAGCACCCTCACACACACACACACACACACTCCACCCCTGACATGCACAGCACACACACACTGCACCCCTGACACTCACAGCACCCTCACTCACACACTCACACACACTGCACCCCTGACACTCACAGCACCCTCACTCCCACACTAACACACACTGCACCCCTGACACTCACAGCACACACACACACACACACACACACAGCACCCTCACTCACACACACACACTGCACCCCTGACACTCACAGCACACACACACTGCACCCCTAACACTTACAGCACCCTCACACACACACACACACTGCACCCCTGACATGCACAGCACACCCCCACTGCACCCCTGATATGCACAGCACACACACACTGCACCCCTAACACTTACAACACCCACACACACACTGCACCCCTGACACACACAGCTTCCTCACATGCACATTGCACCCTCATGCAAACACAGCACCCAATCACACACAGCACACACACACAGCACCCTTACCCACATAGCACCCTCACGCAAACACAGCACCCATCACTCCCACACTACACACCTCACACACACTGCACCCCTCTCGCACACACACTACACCCCTTACACACACACACAGGACCCTCACACTGCACAACATGCTTTCCTAGCATTTTTGTCTCCTGGTATCCCAACTATGGAGACACCAGAGACAAATTTCAAGCAAACACAGTGCAAGTATGTTATTGAATTTGCTTGCGCTGTGCAGAACAAATACAGGGTCTTTTTCTCATGCCAGAGCTCTTCAGCAGAGCTCTGCGCATGGTCTACCCTGGAAGAGCATTGAACCAACATGCTCACTTTATGATGGGGCGTGCTTGTCATTGGTGATGACAAAACACACCCTATCTGGCCCCGCCCCCTTTGTAGTGGGCTGCTGTAATTAAAAAATGCCCAGGACAAATTTTCTTCCCAGTCCGGCCCTGGTCACAAACACTGGCCAAAATTGGCGTTTTTTGCATTTTTCACACACAAACAAATACTAACGCTAACTTTGGCCAGTGTTTGTGACCAAATGCCTACTAAAAAAGACTGGACATACCCCATTTGCAATACCTTGGGTTGTCTACTATTGCAAATGGTATGCCATTATGGGTGTAAATTTCATTCCCGGGCTACTATACAGTCTCAAAGGCAACCAATCTGGCTAATTTCAATTTCAAATGTAACGTGCTATATTTGACCCCGTAACTTCCCAAAACGCCATAAAACCTGTACGTAGGGGGTACTGTTTTACACGTGAGACTTTGCTGAATACAAATATGTGTATTTTATTGCAGTAAAAGCAAACAGTATTATGACATTGACAGTTAAAATGTCATGTAGAACTAAAAAAATAAACAAAATTCTTATTTTCTCCCATTTTTTTCAAA